CCATGAATCATTAAAGTGGTTAACCGATCAAGGTAACATAAGAAAACGACATGCTCGATGGGTTTAATTTATTGAATTTCCCCTTATGTAATCAAGTATAAACAAGGGAAAGATAACATTGTAGCTAATGCATTGCCCTGAAGGTACACACTCATTACATAAATGCATGCAACTATTCTAGGTTTCGAGCACATTGAAGAACTTATTATGACCTATATTTTTCTGAGATTTACAACCATTGTTCAAAAGGTTCTTTTAACAAGTTTTATCTTGTAGATGAATTTCTTTTTTGAATGAACATATTGTGCATATCATAAGGCTCACTATGAGAATTTCTAGTCCATGAATCACATTCAAGAGGACTGATGGGACACTTCAGTGTAAACATGACAATTGACATGGTCATGGAACACTTCTTTTGGACGCACATAACGAAAATCATGGAAAAGCTATGTGCTTCATGCATCACATGCAAACAAGCCAAATCCAATATAAACCCTAACCGTTTGTAAACTACTCTACCAATTTATTCCTCACCTTGGATTTATTTATCTATGGATTTATTATGAGCTTCCCTCAAACCAAGAAAGGGTGAAATATTATCTTTGTGGTTGTAGACAGGCTCTTAAGGATGGCACACTTCATCCCATGCCATAAAATAGTGGATGCAACACACATTGGTGATATATTCTTCTGAGAGATAATGAGACTTCATGGCATTTCTCGCACTATTGTGTTTGATCGAGACACAAAGTTCATAAGCCACTTTTGGAAGGTATTATGGGGTAAGATAGGAATAAAAATTCTATACTCAACTACTTTTCACCCTAAAATAGATGGACAAAACAATGTAATAAACTAGATTCTAAGTTCTTTACTTAGAATAGTGGTAGGTGAAAAAATTGAAAAATAACCAAAAAACGATGAATCTTTGCGAACTAGCTCTGTTGGTGTACTTTGACGGGTGATGCTTGAAGAATAAGTCAAATTAATTTGATTATTCCTAAGAATAATCAAAAATATAATAACAATTGATATAGAAGTGGTAGTGGATGATTGTAAGTTACTCTTATTGAGATATCAAACCTACAAAGCTCTAGATTCGATCAAAGAAGGAAGAATAAGTCAAATTATTTGATTATTCCTAAGAATAATCAAAAATATATACAATTGATATAGAAGTGGTAGTGGATGATTGTAAGTTACTCTTATTGAGATATCAAACCTACAAAGCTCTAGATTCGATCAAAGAAGATAAAGATTAAATTGATATGGGCAGCAGCAAAGGATATTGGTATTTAAATTAGGGATATTGGAAATTGAGACTAGGAAACAAGGATTAAGACAATAAAAACTAGGATAATAAAGAGTTAGATAAAATAAAGACAAGATTAAACAATGGTAATGAAAGAGCAAAAGAACAAAACATGTAATGGAAAAATTAAACTTAACCAATAGACGTAGGTGGCTGAATGATTGATTATTCTTATATTTTGATGAATGGATGCTCATTAGAAATATATATATAATTAAAGATCGTAACGGTGAAGATAGAATTGAGATCATATGGTCGAATTAGTAGGAAAATTAAACTAAAATTTTACCCACGATAGATTTGATGTTAACAAAAACCCTAGAATGGGTATGATGGTGGCGTGAAGGTGGTGAAGAAAGAAATAATATGATGATAGAAGATGATAATGAAGGATAAGTGTCCTATCAAACCCTCCTATACGCAATGAAAAGATAAACTCGATAATATGAAAAGGCAAATCAGAGTGTGAAGATATCTCTCTCAAGAACTCAAAAGAACTAAAAAAAGCTTCGAAGGTACAAGGCAATCCTCTTTAGCAAAAATGATCTATTTTGTATTGAATAAAAGAAGAAAATTTGATGATTATAATGGTAGGAGGAGCCTATTTTATATAGGGTTTGAGGAGTCCTCATTATAACATGAATGAAACATAAAATAATCATAAAAACTATCCTAAATCTTTGTGTAACACACATCTCTCATATACCTTTCCGTACACGAGATACGGATGTCACATCACTTTTAAAATATTTTTTTCATTTGAAAACCCGTAAATATTTGTTTCAATTTCTAAACAACCTCAAAGTATGATATTCATAGAAGCAAAATATTAAAACTATCAATTTAAATACATTACAACATATTCAATTTAGCTCCATTACATGCCAACTAAGTTTTCAAAAGGAATAAGATTGTTCTAACGTTACTGACGGTTCAACCTTAATTGATGTGGTGATCCACAACATTTTCTTGGGTCTTGCAGTTGGACCCAGAAGTAATTTGGGTTGTTGTGATCCAAGTTGATGTGGGAGGAAGGATGAGTCTGATTCCATCCCTAAACTCTTCAAGCTACATGTGGCTGTGTTGGACTTTATTAACGAAGGATTTGACTACATTCTAGAGCTTATCTTTGAGTAGCTTGGTCCGTCCTCTTGTGATTGGGCCTAGTGGCAAGGTAAGCCCATCCTTTGGGCGTATGGTGCATGTATCACCTAGTAACATGGCGGGACGTTATTGGATGGATTTTACCAGCATATAGAGTGTGCAATACTTTTATTTGATAGGAAGCCGTGAAAAGATCATTAAATTAATTAATTTCTTCAATCCTGTCAAAAAGAAGTTGGAAACTTTCATGGACAAGAAATGATACATGCACTAGAGTCTATAATGATGACAACTCATTCTTCTTTCAACTTTTGTTTCTACTCGAACCTATTAGAATAACAAAGTCTCGAAGATTCAAAGCATATCTAATCGGTAATTATAATGTGAGTGAATTCTTAAAAGGCTCTAATGTTTATGATATGGTATTTGTTTGATGTCCCGAGTCATATACATAGTTCCCAGTCGTGATTCTAGTAAGAAACCCGATAGTGATAGCTTGAACTATAAAATGGCATAGATATAAGCATAAAAAGTAAATGATAATAAATAATAATTGAAATAATGGGATGAAAAGATTGAGTAAGTTGTTTGAGGGCGATGGAAGAGTGATGGTTGTTGTGGTTTAATTATAATGAAAGTAGATGGTGAAGTATGAATGACGTTGTTGTGGCAAGTGGTGTTGTCGTGGCAAATGTTTTAAGGATAAAACGGATTGTGTACTTTTTTTATTAGGCATTATTCTTCCATTTTATGAATTTTGCATCTTTCATTTGTTTTTGCAGGTTCCCAAGGTGAAATTGTGCTCATGGCAAAGAATATAATATAGATGACCCCTTCAGTTAGAACATGTAAGTATTGTTTTCTCTTGTTTCTTTCCGGATACGACTTGATTAATTTGTATGGCTATTAAACCGAGTATATGAATATATATTACTTCATATTGTTTAGAATATTTACAAGATTTATTTTTAATATAATTATAACACATGAAAAAAATCAAATATTGTCAACATTTGTAACGTGAATTTCGTTTGACCTAGTTCAAAAACATCTCAGTATGATGAAGAACTAAATTAGAAGGAAAAATAGGAATTTGTAGTGGATGCAAAAGCCTATGAGGCAGTGTTCATGTATAATTATGATTCTAGAACTTGATATACCTTTGTAAAATCCTCTTGTAATTTCTTTTTAAAAGTCTTCTCCTTTGCATGTAAGTTTTATTTTAATTTCTTTTACGTAAATCATAAGAGTTAATGACAATGAAAATAGGGAAACATTTTTTCTAATGAAAGAAGTTAAAATATTAATCACGAAAAATGTTAAGAAAATACATAAAATGATAGAACTACTAGTTTTATGCTGGTGAATCTCACCTTTAATACATGAGTCAAAAACGAAACATTTAAATTGGACAGTTTTGTTTTTGAACATGGGAAACATTCATTCCATTAGAGAAAAAGGTGGGGTATAAAGTCACACAGCAAATTGTTTGCCCGAATGAAACCCAGAAGTACACAAGGCAAAAGTAAAAACCCAGAAGAAATCAAGAACCAAGACATAGAAAACAAGCAAAGAAACAAAGTAACCATAAACGGAAAGATACAAGCACAGCAAGCTGCCTACACCGGATCCATCAAGACGATAGTTGTAATCGACGAACAATGAATGTGAGCATCTAAGGTATCAAACTCAGAAAGTGGGCATCTACCATCAAATCATAGTCTCTTCACCGGTGCATTTATTCAAATTGGATGTCATAGTTGCCTTGATGAACCATCTAAGTCCAGGGAACAGGACCATGAATCAAAGAAGACTCAAGGGAGTTCTCCCCCCCAGAAGGAAGAGAAGAGAGAGCTGACCTCACTAAACAAAGATTAAGGAAAACAGCAGTGATTGTCGTTGACCTGCCACATAGTAAGAGAGGCTGCTTATTTTGTCGGAGAAGAGAGAACACGGTTAAATGATGGGCTGGAAAAAAAGGTGCTGCAGAGAACTGGGAAAAAACTGGCAAAGGGCAACTTTAGCCGCAAGAGGCTCACTCGTAGACAATGGCTTTGGCTCCTGGACAATGCTTGGTGAAGCTTTCTGCACAACCTTCAACATTAGCGAAGAATTAAATCTTGATCGATCATGTCCTGCATTTCTAGATTCCATTAATATGTATGCAATGCATGTATGTATGTATCATAATGATATAGTAGCACTGAGGCCACTTGATTGTGGATCTAGGAAGGAAGCAAATAACATTCCCAGTAGGTAAACGGTCACATAACTAATGAAATGAGTACAGTAAACAATTTACAATGCCATATAATTTCATATCTCAAAGAAGCAACCAGAAGGACAGTATATCTTGACAGGAAAGCAACACCCCAAAACAGGGAGTTAAAAACTGTTCGTAATAAAACAATCATACCATACAACACTTTTAAAACTTTCCAAAGCCAACAACTTCAAAATCGAAGCACTCAAATTATAACTTCAAAAGATTGTCATCGTCAGTGGGTCAGAAACTTAAGCTTTGGGTGTGCACTGCATCCGGTTCCAAATCGACAGGTCCATGTTGCAAATCCCTTGAAAACTTGACCTCTCCAATACTCTGTTGGAAAATGTATTAGTACATCAACCAGTTCACGGTTTACGACAATTTGTATAGTTGAGCATTTAATAATGAATTCTCTCATCACTTTCAAGTGCAGGCCCTCAATTCCCTTGAGGGCTGCTTCATAGTTCTTGACATGAGAGGTATTTCTAGCAGACATTGTCTGCTTAGGGTAAACAGGTTCAACAGGACTTCTCTGCCGACTTGAACATTTTTGCAATGCTCCAGGGCTAGCAAGGTTGCGTGAGAACATTGTGGGTTGACCTCACTACCAGCAAAAGCATCACGACTGCAAGAAACAGCAACTTGCGTCGAAGAAGATCCACCCGACTGCCCCACAAACTTGGTCCAAGTAAAATCCGAGTTAGTTGGTACTTCAGAATAAAAATATAAATTGGTAATAGGCTACTTCATCGGATCAGTTTCTACCAAATATACATTGCTAATAGAATTATATAGTATCTGAAGCATATCCATCTTTCCGTTTGAGGCTCGCTAATATTCATCAAACAGTGATATATATGCTCACAATCATAAAATAAAAGATTGCCAGACTCTTTTAGTGCTTACAGGATCATTTGCAAATGTACTCTTCTGTTTTGCATAATTTTCAGAGTTCATCAAGGGTCCTGATATTCTCCGTTTTGGATGACACAGCAGATGCTCGCAAGTCCTCCCCAGCTACATGCAAGAGATGTAAATGGCATAATTCCAATAGAAACTAGATTTTTAAACAGATGAGAGATTCCATTTTTTTCTTAAATATCAAAGAGAACTTTGAAAAAACAGAGAAGGTATAGCATTCTATGCAATGCAAACTTTGCATGCGCAAGTAAACACACTCGAATAACAAAAATTTAAAACATAGATAGTAAAGATTAGAGCTATTTATGAAAATTTTCAATCATATGAAAGGAGCACCAATTACCTTCGAGTCTGTCAACATTGGCAATAGCATGGGGCATGGGAGAAGTTGTTCCAGTACCAAGGCCCTAACAAAGACAAGCATTACAAAGATGAATTCCACAAGGATTACTTGTCATAACCATTTTTGAAAACAATTATATTTAAAAAACAATTATGAGTTTATTTGAAAAATTGAGATTTTGAATCGGAGTGACCATCGACCTTTAGGTTATGTAGGTCGAATGCCTAAAAACACATTTTAAAACAAATTTTAAAAAAAATCATTTTAAAGACATAAATCGGTCTATGTTACCAAAGATTTATTCTTAAAGGTTCGTGAATCGATTATGCGTGGGGAAAGATAAGCACCCAAACAGCGCCAGAAATTGGTACTTAGTCGCTTATATATTGGCGTAAATGGTGGAAATTATAAATTCGAATATAAAAATTAAATTACGATACATTTATTGAGTATTGATTAATTTTATTCTGAATCAGTTATTAAAGAAAATTATTTGACTTGACAAGAAATATCAAGATTTGCAATCCTCCATCGGGAAAGCTATCTCACTTATTTCTTATATGTAAAAGAATATTTCATCTTTGAATTATTTAAAATATTAAAATAAATCAAATTTTACATAAATAATTTATAATTCACTTTTTTGAAGACATACATCGTTAATACTAAAATTAAATAAAACATAATAAAAATTAAAAATAAAGTATTATAAAAATAAAATAAAATAAAATTATTACTATCATTTTAATAAATACATAAAAAAGGCTCGCATTTTCCAAGTTCGTACTTCATTTGAATGTCGTATTGGATTATACTATTTCGATCAAGCAGTGCTTTCCATGCCCATTCTACAAATAAGTGTTCTTGAAAATATTCGAGTAAAAGGAGTTTGATGAAAACTAAATACGAATTGAAATATATATATATATAAAGAACAAAATATCCGTCATAAATAGAGCTAACGGCATTTATTTAATATAAAACATATACAACCATAATATACTAGTAATGCTACTCACATGTAAAAATATGTATACATATATACATAAAGGACTAGAATAAAAAACAAGGAAATATTACGGATCATATTACAAACAACAGAAAATAGGCCTATTTGGTGATTCAAATGTTCAAAATGGTATTAACAAAGACTTGAAGGACCAAACCACAATACCAAAAAACAAGAGCCACAATCGAACATATTAAACAATAAAGATACTGGAAACAAAAATAAGCCATAAATAATATTAAGGACTAAAATAAACTAAATCAAATACATGGAAGGGTAAATAACAATTCTACCTAAAGGCATTCATACAAAACAGTGACCAAAACAAAATATTTGTAAACCTTAGAGTCATATTCAAATTAGAGTCAGATTAAAATTAGAGCAAACATGATACAATCTATAAACTGGTGACTTAAATGTGAACATCGAAAGCTTAAAATTCAAAACAAAATAACACAACATTTCATTCAATGATCAAAAGGCCAGGGTACAAAGTCAGAAGGACTAAAACCTATATTATCCCAAGAGCGAAAATACAACCCTACCCCCTTTCGAAACTATGTCGTTTCACATATGGTATATATGATTAAAATCGAACCCAAGCAGGCCATTCCCCTCTCATTTGCCTCATTTCTGTTTTTATCCCAATGGAGAGAGAGAAAATGCTCTCAACTCTCCTCTACTCCTCTCTTCATTTCGCCGTCGTGCGGAAAGATCTGAAGGCCACGGCCAGCGTACGTTGGCAGTGATAACTTGGGAAACCGAACAAAAAAAAACCTTTTTGCTATCTTCCCTCTTTCTCCTCTAAAACCCAACTCTTCGAACACCCAAAACCCAAAAATCAACCCCCGTTCAAAACCCTAAAAATCTAAGAAAAACAAAAAGCTTTACCTTCGGTGGTGAGTTTCTTAGTTCCGGTGAGGCTACCGACGGTCGAATCTCCCTAAAAGGCATGTTTTTTTCTCTCTAGTTCAAAAGTTTTTTTCTTTTCTCATTTCACTTTTTTCTGGTTTTGTTCGAATCCCTCTTCTCTTTTTTTTTTGTTTTTCGAAGCCTCATCTTCTCTTTTTGGTTTCTCTTTTTATCTTGCATGTGACGGTTGATGATGACTTTGTTGTTACCGAGAAGATAGGGTATAAGTGCCCTATTTTGGCTCGTGACAGGGCCTCGATTTTCTCAGAATTTTTTGTACAAATATGTTTTTATATTTATTTTTCTCCACTAACTGTTTTTCTTTCCCTTGATTGATTTGTGATATCTGGCTGAAATAACAGTGATGTCAGAGGCTCAGATGATGGTGACGGCTGGAGCTGGGCATAGCTTGCGTTGAGCGGTGGTAGATGATATATTAGGGTAAACCCTAATCTAGGATTAATCTGGATCGTTGGATGGGTCCAGATCCTATGGTTGTAGATTAAAAGCACTTATGGGGTTACAAAACCCTAGTTAAGGATGCATGCAGGCTGTTGATCTCCATCCTAATCTGACGGCTGAGATTACGCAACGTCTGGAGAAGGGATAAGAAACCCTAACCGAGTTTCAGGTTAGGCTTATTTCCTGGGCTTAGGGCTTTGTAATTTAGGCTCCACTAGGCCTACAAAATGTAAATTAGAATAAAATAATAATAAGAAATATTAATAATAAGAAATATTAATTAATAATAATTAATATGCAAAATTAATTTTGGACAAAATTAGGTGTTTACAGCTACCCCTCTTTGTCCATTGTCGTATGACGAGAATGGGACAAAGAACAAAGACACTAATTTTTTCCTGCCATGAAATTCAGTTCGCATTTGGAAATTGAATTTGTCTGAGGATGACAATGTTCCTTCGCGTTGAGGTTGTCTTAGTCATATTTTTACAGATCGATTTGACCTGATTTCTTCGTGATGAGGATGTTTAGTCGCGTTCGAGTGATGTCACATCTGAGGCAATATTGTTCATTCGCGATGAGGAAATCTAACTGCCTCGAAGTATTTTGTCATTGACACCGGCATTGCTCCTTCGTGTTGAGGAGAACTAATCATTCCTCGGTGTCGAATTTGATGATGACATTGCTCCTTCTTGTTGAGGATATCTAGTCATATTTTGAAAGTTTGATTTGACATAGTTCCTTCTTGCTGAGGACGATTAATCATTCTTAAAAATGAGAATTTGAAGACAATGTTGTTGCTTTTTCCTAAGGAAATCTAATTGTCCGAAGATATTTTGATTTTGAAAAAGACATTGCTTATTCATGGAGAGCTTATCGTTGCCAGGGGTCGAATTTAATGATGACATTACTTATTCTCGTTGAGGAGGTCTAGTCATAATTACCACTGATTGATCCGAGATTAATCTTGAAAACCTATTCAAAAGGGTTATTTGCTATGATTTCATGTTTGCAATATGTCCTAAAGATGATCTAAATGCAAGTTAACATGACATTTCGAATGATTATGCACATCTTGATCCTGGCATTTAGGACCTCATATGTTCTTTGATCGCGACAAGCGAGATTTTGTCTTTTCCATTGTCTGGGGTTATTTTCTTAACCTCTTGTTAAATTTTGCTAGATTAGGTTTCTTTGATCTACCTCTTGAGAAAGCTTATCTTATATGGTTGGCTCTTTGGCCACTGATTGGCTTTCTTTTTGAGAAAATTTTATTTGAATGGCATATCATTTTGTGATATTTCAATTGGGACTTCTTTGGTCTTTTTGCTATGGAAAGGTAGAGTTAGGCTAAAACCAAATTCTTTGATTTAGACGCTCTCCTTTTTTCAATGATCTACTTAATGATTTAGGGAAGTGTATCTTTGCATGTGCTTCCTGGTAAATACATGTTTTGAAACTCCCATACTCTAACACTTTTCGGTGTAAGGCGTAATAATTGATACTATTATTGATCAGTATTTTGATGCTTATATAAAGGAATAATGAGGAAAATTTTAAACAATTTCATTAAAAAGAGGTAAGAGAAAGTACAATATTTCAGGACAAGAAATAAACAAACGTTACAGAAAGAATAGAGGTTGAATACAGTCAATAACAACTGTTGAGTCCTTCTATTTCCTCGCCCCAACTCTTTCTTGAAAGTTAACATGTGTCTAGAAGATTTAGATCATACTAAGGATGGCTAAGTATGAGAGCCTCTCCCTTAATTGTTAGCCTTCCGAGTGAATATGCCATTTTAATCTTGAACATTCGAGTCGTCCACTGTGGATTTTCAACTCGAATCCTCATTTGGTTTCAATACGCCCATTTTGGGTTTTCGTCTTGAACCTTTCTTTATTTTATTAATATTCATTTTTTCTTCTTTTTCTTTTTCTTTTTTCTTTTTCTTTTTTATTTTCTTTTTTCTTTTTTTTTTCTAGGTGTAATATCACTTAACTGAATCAGAATTCATAGGGTTAAGCAATTCTTCTCCTTCCATTTCAGTCAAAACCAAAGCTCCTCCTGAGAAAGCCTTTTTCACAACATAAGGGCCTTCCCAATTTGGCATCCACTTCCCTCGAAAGTATTTTTACATAGGGAGGATTTTTTTTCAACACTAAATCTCCTTTGTGAAATTCTCGAGGTTTGACATTCTTATCATAAGCTCGTACCATCTTTTTTTGATACATCTGGACATGGCAGATAGCCCTTAGTCTTTTCTTTTCAATCAAATTCAACTGATCAAACCTATTCTGAATCCAATCAGCCTCGTTTAGTTTCAAC